GGCCAAGAGAAGGCAGAACAAAGGAGCAAGCAAACACATGAAGCAGTTTTATCCTTTTTCTTTTTACCCAATGCCTGACTTCCCTACAAAACCACTTCTGTAAGCTGACCAGTGGATATTTAGTCACATACTATTTCAAAGTAAGAGAGCGCCTCTAGGAGGAAGCTCATCTGCATGATCTAGGAAATGAGGCTGGTAGGACTACAGTTGTTAATTAATAACACCGGCCATAGAGGGCGCTGATTGGCATATATTTAGGAAAGCATTTGTCCTTTTCTCCACGCATAAATTTACTTTAAGATTCCATAAAAAGAAGTTTTGCAAATACAAGGTTTTATTAATTATCCGAATTAAAATGCTCAAGTTAACCCAAAAGAGCTGTAATTCATACGTGTAAACTGTTCCGATGAGCAATACAACAAATGCGAAGCCCCACACTGCTTGGGGAGTCAGAACACCCAACAAAATAAACTGCCCTAAATTACTGGAGTTTCACTAAAACAGAAAAGCCCAAAGAACTCTGCTCTACGTAACAGAAACTATACTACTCAAAAAGAAAAAACCAAACCTTTATTAATCAGACGTAATTTGACATTTTCAGTCAGAGTACGGTAGCATTTTATCCACTGAGAAACCGACCGGTTTCTTGAGCAGTACCTTTCTAAAACACAGAAACCAACCCAAATCGAAGTTAGGCCCCTTCTACAATGTGTAATTTCTTCACTCTGATGGAATGCAACAAAACATCTTGCCCTTGGGTTGCTCAGTTTCAGCCCAAACAAATGCAAATGGTATGTCGGCTGACAGCTGTTTGGTAAGGCTCCCCTACACGACCTGCATGCTTTACTTTTTTCCGTGAAACTCGGGATGAAAGGCAGAAGGCAGGAAGAGAATTAATGTAGCATACAGTCTAAAGGCAATGCTACAACCGTGATTAAGTAGAAAAGTTAAAAGGCACAGATTTTCCACAGCTTCGCTGCGTGCAACCCATCCGTGTAACAAGTTGACAGGCCTAGCGCGTCAGCTTCATCATCCCCTCCGACAGCTAAAACGCAGCACTGCATCCCTTTTCAGAGAAAATTTGCGTCTGCACCATGAAGCGTTGTACATTATTTCTTAGCACTGCAGGGGGCTCAAGTCCATATGGAACCTTCACAAATATTACCACAGATCAAACCAGCGGCGTTGGGAGGCAGATTTGACATACCTATTTAAATGAACAGCAGGGGTCCTCGGGCAGCCTCGGGCTGCGGGGGCAGCTCGGCGGAGCGCCAGCCGCAGCTCCATTAGTCAGCAAAGACACACTCTACATTTATCATTCATTTCATTTCTGCCAGGGCAAGAAGCTCATTTGCCCAAGGTCAACAAAAAGCGAAAAGAAGGTTTTCTTTTTTTTCCCCCAGAAATAAATGTACCTGACAAGTGGGGATTTTGTCCTTTGGGTCTGTGGAGCACAAATAAACACCAGAGAGTTCTAAAAGAGCCGAGTGAATGTGTGCCTGGGATTCAAGCAACCTGAAAGCTGACTGAGGATGGGGAAGCCCAGTGAGTGTTTTTGCAACTTTTAAAAATCGTATTGTGAAGAAAATAAAACTTGACATCGTGTTCTTAAGGTAACACGGGTCCTGTTGTCAAAAATCGGGTATTAGCATCTAGTCATTTTATTCATAGCACCCTAGGGAACCCCCAAATTTGCACGCTACCAAACACAGTTCTGAAACAACAACAGAAAGCTGTTCCCAGTACACTCAAACACAGATGCCAAGTCACAGTGTAATAAAACCATTTCTTAGGTCTTTTGGAGGCACAAATTCTAGACTCCTAATGCTGCACTTGCCTCTGAAAGGCAAAAACTGTGTATGAATAAACAGAAAGTACAGACGACATTTTGACTCTCTCCGTGGTCAATGCCTTACAGCACCTGACAGCAGCACATACTCGTCCCCTTTCCTGCTTCGCACCTTACCTTCTGTACATGCATTATTACTCAGTGGAGCACTTACCTCCTAAAACAATCTCAATTTGCAAGAACCAGCATTTTAAGGCCAAACCATCCTGATACAAATTCTATGATGTTTATTTACCTTTTGCAAAAATGAATTAATAATACATACAGTCTTTCGACATACTGCCTTACCTCTAGAGGTCTTAGTTTCGCACAATAGGAAACATACTAGATAAATCCTGAAGCCGAACAAAATATCTGGTACAGTCACTTAGCTTACAGTTCATATTATTAATCACCGATGTAATATACTTACATGCATTAATGAATAATACGACTGTTTGCCAGTATAAAAGAGAAAATGAAATGGACGGCCATCTTCTCCCCACTGGATTGCTAATAAAAAGCCAGATGAAAACAAATAAACAAAAATAAAAATTTATGCCGAGAGAGACCAAATAGCTATGTTTAGCTGAAGTTAGGAGACATGTCTACAATTCTGATTAACTTTTAAAATGACAAAACAGCATTAATATTTAGAATTTTAATATTTAGTTCAGCATGTTTAATGTGCATGCAAACTATTTAGGATATTTAATATTCCACACTCATTAACATAAAACAATGTTTGTATCTGATAATATTCCTGTATATTTCATCATGAGAATTCTAGAACTTGTTTTAAATAAACACACATAAAATAGCAAAAATCATCTCGTTGGAACAAAAAAATCTAGGTTTAGCTATAAATACAACACACTCCCATATTCTTAAAAAGGGAAACTGATAAAGTAATGACATCATACATTCAGGAAATTAGGAAAAGGCATAATAAAACAACAAAGAAAAAAAACTAAATGGATTTTTCCATGCCACATTATTTGTTCCAACTCTGTGGTGACATACCTCTGAGAGTTTAAACGTCTAAAACAGAAGGGGCCCCCACAAGGTGTTATGTGTAATTCCTTTTGAAATACAGATGGTCATTCACATCTAATAAACACCAAACAAACTGAGGAATGAAGTCACTGTAGTAAATGAACCAAACCTGAGTCCACATCCTTTGCCCTTATTTCTACTGAGTTGTTTCTTGGTTAACCATTTGTGGGAACTTCAATATGTTAAAGGTATACTCCTCTGTCAATTACAGAAGTTGAAAACACTTTTCTTCCAATCTGTCACTTTTTTTAAAAAGATTATTTTTTAGAGAAAGCATCTTTCTTTTTTTTTTAAGGATGAGGTGCTTTATCTTTTTTTTTTTCCCCATGGGGAGGGTGTGTGAGACAAACACAGACAGACTTAATGTGTTGAAATCCTGTGTCACCCACCTTTTAATTTGGCTTACAGTTGTCTTTCATAGTCAAGAAGTTTAAAATATATGTATACTGTAGAATCTGTCACTTTCCTCTATGGCACGGTTTATCAGCTGTTTCTCACTATCATCCCTACTAAAGAGCCTTGTTAGACATCTTTTTCCTAATTGCCTTACTCCCCATGAAACTTCAATACCACCAATATATTGTGGATCTGTTGATGTACACGGTGGCCCTTTGGAGGGCTGTAAACATTCTAACAGCTCAGACTTTTCTCATCTCCTATGAATCCATTTATGCCCCCCCCGGGGACAACATCACTCCTATGGAGAGAGCATGCTTTAAGACTTTAGGCTTTCTAGAAACTATTTTCCTATATTTTCTTCTGGAAAAAAAAAATTTTTCATGTTCAGAAATTTCATTTATCTGAAATCTATGTTCATCAGGCAGAAATCCAAGTTATTACCTTGTCCAGCAAAGAGAATCTTTATCCCATCAGTTTTTTGATACTATACTCTTCTGTTGAGTAATCTTTTTTTAAAGATTAATTTGAGAGAGAGAGAGTGTGTGAGAGAGCACTCGAGCGAGCATGAGCAGGGGTAGGGGCAAAAGGAGAAGGAGAGAGAATCTCAAGCAGACTCCACGCCGAGCACAGAGCCCAAAGTGGGGCTCGATCTCATGACCCCGAGATCACGAACTGAGCCAAAACCAAGAGTCCGACGCTTAACCACCCAGGCGCTCCACTACGCTCTTGTGTTGAAATACCACCTGTACAATAAATAGAATACTTCTGCTTCTGAGGATAACTGACACTACACATAGGCCACTTTAAGTGAATATATTTAAAACAAAGACCAAAATTTCATAGTAAATTATGAAGAAAAGTCTTGATAGGGATTTTAGCTTAAAAAAGAAAACCAGATTCTTATATGCCAATGGTTGTGGATGAATTAAATACTTCTCCAACATCATTTTCACACACTTCATGAAATCCTGCATATTTTCCAATATTTATAACTTCACTATGCAATCCATTTGCTCTGTATCGTTAAAGCAGTCAGTTAGAAAGCGCCTAAGAAAGACAAATATCATGGTTGCAGATAAGACTCTACTGTAAAAGTTGGGAGGGGTTTCTGAGTTGGGTCTCATTTCATGTGTGAGAGTGTGAGCATATAGAGGTGTGTGTGTATATACTTGATTTCATAATACTTCACTCAATCTAAGATGTCACAGATTTTAAGATGTCCCATCATGTATCTTATACAAAGAAGGAAGGAAAAAGTGCTGATCATCATGGTTTACATTAATTGTAAAATGAATCCTGTTGTCAAATTGTTAAAACTGAAAACTTTTAGAATTCACAAAATGTGGTATAAACAAACATGCTAATGCTGAATAATCTCGTCCACAGGTTGGTCTGTCAGAATACTGCACCACTACCACCATTTGATTAAAATAAGCTTTTGCTGCATTTTGATAGCTGGTAGGGTAAGGTTGCTACATTATCCTTACTTCTTTTTAAAAATTTTTCTCTGCTTCTTGCACATTCACTCTTTCAAATAAAGTTTATAAATATCTCCCAAAAGTCCTACCAGGACTTTGATTCAAATTATATATGTTTGTTCATAATTTTTAAGGAAATAACTTTGCAATATCTTTCTTTACAGGAACATGAAATCTTTTTTCTATTTAGGCTTTCACCTATGAGCTTTAAGTTTCATAATTTTCTACATAAAAACTCTTGCATATTTTTGTAAGTTTTATCTGTATTTTAGTTTTTGTTGTTCTTGACACTGCCCCCTCATTTAACTGTTTTCTATAAAATTAACTTTATGCAATATACCCTTCTTTCACTATTTTTTCAACAAACTTTTTCTTTAGAGCAGTTCACAGCAAAGTTGAGAGGAAGACAGAGATTTCCCATATACCATCTTTGCTCCCACATATGCATAGCCACCTCCATTATAAACATCCCCTAACAGTGTGGTACCTTTGTTACAAGTGATACGCCTACTCGCTCTGGCACATCATTATCACCCTAAGTCCATAGTTAACATTAGGGTTCACTCTTGTTATACACTCGGTGGGTTTGGGCCCACCACTATAATACTATACAGAGTAATTTCAGTGCCCTAAGGGTCCTCTGTGCTCCACCTACTGCCCTATAAACATCTGTCTGCAGGTTTCTGTGTGGCCTTAAGTGTTCAACACCTCTGGATAAATACCAAGGAACACAAATGCTGGATCATATGGGAAGAGTTATGTTTAGTTTTGTAAGAAACCGCCAAACTCTCTTTAAAAGTGGCTGTACCATTTTTGTAGTCCCAAGAGCTCCTGTTGCTCATCGTCCTTGGCACAATTTGGTGGTGTCAGTGTTCTGGATTTTGGCCATTCTAACAGGTATGTAGTGATATCTCACCGTTGCTTTAATTGGCATTTCCCTGATGTGAAGCATCTTGTCATATGTTTGCCATGTATATATCTTCTGTGGTATCTATTAAGAACTTCGGCCAATTTTTAAATTGGGTCATTGGTTTTCTTACTGTTGAGTTTAAGAATTCCTTGTGTATTGTGGATAACAGTCCTTTATCAATATGTCTTTTCCAAATATTTTCTACAATCTGTGACTTGTCTTTTCATTCTCTTGACAGTGTCTTTCTCATAGAAAATTTGAATTTTAATGAAATCCAGCTTCTCCTTTGGTGTTGTATATAAAAAGCCATGGCCAAACCCAAGGTCTTCTGGATTATTAACTACTGATTCAATTTCTTTAAATGATATAGGCCTATTCAAATTGTCTACTTCTGGTGTAAGTTTTGGCAGATTGTATCTAACCTACAAGGAAATGGTCCATTTCATGTAGGTTATTGTATCTGTAGGCATAGAGTTGTTCATGGTATTCCCTGATTATCCTTTTAATGTCCCTGGGATCTGTAGCAGTATCCTTTCTTTCATTTCTGGTACTAGTAATCTGTGTCCACACTCCTTTCTTTCAGTTAGCCTGACTAGAGGCTCATTGATTTTATTGATAAAACTGACATATAAAATCTATTATCAAAGAACCAGTTTTTGTTGATTTTCTCCACTGATTTCCTGTTTTCAACTTCACTGACTTCTGCTATAATTTTTATCATTTTTTCTTCTACTTACTTTGGATTTAATTTGCTCTTCTTTATCTAGTTTCCTAAGATGGAAGCTTAGATAAGTGATTTTAGATCTTCTTTTCTACTATACGCATTCACAATGCTATAAATTTCCCTCTGAACACATCTTTTTATTCTTTTTATAAAGATTAAATATTAGAATTCCCTTGCCAGAGGCAAGGCTGAAGTTGACTGTTCTAGACTCTTTCAGTACATTTACCTATGTCTACCTACTGAAATACAGAGGACTGTCTGCATGTTTTTTAAAAACACAAATGGTATTTAAAAAAAAAACACAAATGGTATTAAGCTGTATTTACACTACATACTTCCTATAGACAATTTGTCTTCCCCTGCCCCCAAAATTCATGTCGGAACCTAATCCTCAATGTGCTGGTATTTTGGTGTGGGGTCTCTGGGAGGTGACCGGGTCATACGGGCAAAGCCCTCATAAATAGGATGAGTGCCCTCACAGAGGGAACCCCAGAGATCCTGGGTCCCTTCGCCATGTGAGGACACAGGGAAAGACAGTGGTCTATGAACCAGGAAGCAGGCTCTCACCTGCTGTCTTGATTTTGGACTTCCCAGCCTCCAGAACTAGGAGAAATAAATTTCTTTGGTTTGTAAGCTACCGAGAGTATGGTAACCTGAATGGACTAGGACAACACTACACCATTTTCACTTCCTTTTCTCACCCAACAGTGTGTCTCATCTGTACCGATACAACTGAAACTACCTTTTTCTCTCTTTTTGGGGGGGATTGAGAGACAGAAGGCGAGGGAGAGAGAGAGAGAGCGGGAGTATGTGTGAATGAGGGGGGAGTAGTAGGGCAGAGGGAGAGGAGAGAGAGGATCTTAAGCAGGCTCCAGTGTCAGTGCGGAGCCCGACACAAGGCTCGATCTCACAACCCTGAGATCATGACCTGACCCAAAATCA